TTTTTTCTCGTAATTTTACACAAATACATTATTCGCCCCTCAAATGATCCCTCTGAGGGCTACATCTCCATCACGTTAAGTAACACTGCAATTAAAGTGAGTTAAATTCACCAATAAGCAGACAAGCACCATGTGCTGTATGGTTGGTGTTCATTATGCTCAGTACATTAATGCTAACAGTTTGTCAAGTCTTTTCATGCTACAGCCACGTAAACTACATTAACCAGAAAAGAAAAAAGGGAAGAACTTGTCTAAAGCCCCTTAAAGTGAACCTGGAATACAAAACTCGGGTGGACCCATTCCTTTGCCTTTCAGAATGTATTTATTTGGAAACAAATGCATGCTGAGCAGCATGTGGACACACAAATGCATGCTACAGGCAGAAGCTGCACAGAGCAGGATCTGATTAGAATCGCCCCTGCTTTTGTTGTGCTCCTGAAGGCTGCAGCAGGATGGAAGTCTGGATGTTGACAGTCACCTCTATAGCAGATTCAATGAATATAACCGGTGTGTTGACAGAATGCACACAATTTTAGGTGAAACTTTAAAAGAAAATAAACCCTCTCTCTACCTTGCCTAGTGACAGCTTAAGCTTTGAGACGATGGAAGAATAATTCAATTTCTAAAAGCCTGTCATTTGCAAGTGTCCCTATTCCTGCTACATTGCCCTTTGAGTTGCAGTTATATTAACACTTTCAATTATACATGGCTTTACTAAAGCCAAAAGGAACCCGAGCCAGTAAGCGTTACTTAAGTATTTTTCTGTTTCAAGTCGCACCTACACGGTACTGTACTAATGGTACATAAAACACAATTGTTTTTCAGTGAAAGTGTTGTGTAAGATACATAATTTAGTAAATATCTTTGTCTGAAATCTTACTTGTGCTGCAGCCGAGATCAAAATCAAGCTATTGTCCTTACCTACCGGGGAAAGGGGTGTAATAAAACCCTGGATTTACTGTTAATCAGATCTGCTGACTTCGTGACTTCCCTGTGTGTTTTAATACTGCACCATAGGTGCATAACTGCATCCTTAGTCACCAGAACAGGTCCTCTCTTTCACCACAACTACACTGTAGTAATTTAGTTGCTTTTAGAACCATACCTTTTTATGCTTCAACTGAATACAAAACAGTATTTTTAATATCAGAAGAAAATGTGTGAGACAATATATGTGAAGACTTTGTGTCCATCCCCCCCCAACAAGGGGGAACACTAGTCCCTGTTGCAAGCTCCCCACTCTCGAGCTCTCCATCCCATCCCATGGAAAGGCAGCCCATCGCTTTGGGTGTTCTGGCCTCACCTGGCAAGCTTTAAGAAACCTCCCTCCACATTTGAAGCCTCCAGACTTTAAGAGTTTCCAATGGTCAGTAAAACATTTGCCTAATTCATGGCCTGATCCTATTCTCCATAGCAGGATTTTAAATTTGAAGTCACCCCTGGTCGACATTTAAGTAGAGCTGAGAGAGTCGTTTGGGATTTATATTTAAAACATAAATCTAAATCCTGGTTTGCTGAAGTCGTAGGAAAAATCACAGCTACTAGGGCAGCACTGCAGCCTCTGTGTGCCCCTCAGGCTTGTATCCTCCACCACCTTACCCTGGGGAAGGTGGGAACATGGTCCTCCAGAAACAGCCTGCAGCAAGAACTGCGGACATCAGTCACTAGCTGAAACTGCTGTCAAAGTAAAACCTCACTGCAACTAAGATTTAACCATATCCTCCTTTCTATCAGCAAAAGCACAGCACTGACAATTGTGACTATCAAAAATCCAACCTTAGGAGCAGTTTGCACTTCTCAAAAGCCTCCCACAGCAGGAGCATCTCTTCTATCTTGCTACAAGACTCCTTTCCATGAATTACAGAGTATATTGCTTTAATATTAGCAGACTTTTAAGTACAACCAAGACTTGGAGAACTCCTCCCTGGTCACCCAGCTCAGCAGTCTACTGGGACAGGAGCAGTGCCACTGACTCCTGTGAGACTTCACAGTGTTTCGGAAGGAGGGGATCTCTTTTCCTATTGTTTTTACCTATTCAAGTCAAAATGTGGAGATGTGCTCAGGACGACTTCTCCATGCAGAAATTCATACACTGCGCCCCACTACAGACAGTTCTGCCAGCAGAAGTAGTTTTGCAATTAACAAAATCTTGTCCATGGCTCCGTTTTAGAATCTGATTATTGTTCTACATTTATCTTAAGCAAAGTGGCTGACAAATAACTGCAAAATAATGTGATAAAAACCATTTATAATGCCAGCTTATTCCAGGTCTTTCTCCCTAACTATTTATGACAAGGTAATAATGCTGGTTATGCATTTGTCTGACTTTAAATTGGTTACTTATAGCCATGATGGATGAGGGGAAAGATCGCCTTATTCTGAAAAGCAGCTCTTGATTTCTGATCTCATTTCTGCAGGTAATGAATTATATCTAATTAGTAGGTTCCAAATCTAATCAAGAGGTTGAGATGTTGACCCAGAGACAGCAAAAGAGGGTGAGGAGGCCTCCTTTTATGTTTTTTTGCTTATCTTAAATAAAGAATTCCCCATATATAGTCTTCAGTACTTCACTAACTACACCCGCTAAAGATGGAATCAATTCTAAAAGTCACTGTTTCAGTTAACAGTTTAATGAAACTCATCTCCACAGATGTATTCTTTCCATTGGGAATGTAAACTCCTTATTCACCATTACAGTCTATTTAGTTTATTATCAAGGAAATGTACAAGAAATTGTGGTTGTTCTTGCAACCAAATCGGGCTCCGAATGAAAGAAATTACTTTTGATGAAAGAATTTTGTGACTTAAGAAAAATTTCCATCAGAAATAAACAACTAAAAAAATATCAAGGACCTGAAGTGGAAAAAACAGCGCAAGCTGTGGATGGATGGATAGATTAGATAGATAGGAAAATGTTTACAGTTTTACATCACAGTAACCATAAAACAAATAAAAAAGCTACATTTCTAATGACATTTTGCTCTTATAAGTGCAATTTTCCCCACCAGAGCCAGCAAAGTAAACAGAATATATCAGTACAAAACCTACCCCAAAAGACAGTCAATTGTCTACTCCTGTTTGTTATTCTTTGGCTTTCACACTAGACCCAAACTCACTGTTTTACACATAAAAAGGTTCAAATGTATCTTTGCAATGTTAATACATGTGCATCAGTGAATCATCTCCCTCTAAGACTGCTCTGAACCTCCCACAATTAGAGTGCTGGAGGTTTGACAACCACTGTATTAAGCCCTGAAACACCAGTGTACAGCATGTAGAGCTTTCGTCACAGCTTCCCTCTTACTTTCCCTTTATTTTTAAATCTATGTTAAGATCTTTTAAAGAGAATTAGCTATTAAAATAAAAAGGGCATTTAAAAGACAAATATCTTATGAATTAATAATGAGGACCTATGCCGCAAAGTTTATGCTCATAAAAAAACCCAATACATTATACAAGTTCTTCAGATACTGTTGCTAAAGCTAGAATAATAAATCCCTTTAACTGAAGTCCTACATAGGCCTAAATTTCTCCTAAATATTCCTAAAACATTGATCATCTGTTTATCTAAAACTTCCACAGCTCCTAAGTCCAGCAAGATAGCTTAGTTTGTAAAGGACAAAATCCTAATCCCTTATTTATAACTTGTGGCTCTATCCCTGCCAGCAAGCTCTATCTGAACATAGTTACAGAGCACCAAGCTCTGCAAACAGGAGTTGTGCCCCTTGCAGCCCACGGGGCACAGAGGCAAAGGCGTTTGGCAATGAAGTCTGCAAGGGGGAAAGTGAACAAAGCCAGGGGGGAAGTCAATTCCAGAAAGTGCAATGGCATCAGGAAAACTGGGAAAATCAGGGGAAACCCCACTAAGTGTTCGGCTGAGCCTGATGCTTTAACATGATCTGTTCTGTAGGGAAGATGCAATCTCTGCTCAGGCTGGGCATCCCTTGCCCTGCTCCCAGGACATGCCGGTACCAGCAACCCAGAGAAAGCCTGACTTCGGCTTGGTCAAGACTTTCTTGCTTCTGCAAGTGCCTTCTGCTGGATAAAACTCTCCCCCAGAGATGGATTTTGAGTGCAGCAGCTACAGTTCCCCAAGCCTGAGGCAAGGTGAGAGAGATAAAAAGGGCTAAACACAAACTGCAACTCAAACACACACAGGTTGTGCTGTACCTGCAGTGAATGCTTTGGGGTAATAAGCCATCAGCTTTCAGAGCTTGCAGGGATCACAGGACACGAGACTAGAAAGCTGAGGTAATATACTTCTGATTCATTACAGCTAAACTTTTCCACAGCAGAACACAGATGTACTTGGAGGCCTTCAAGCGTACCGGGGTGATATAAATTCCTGCTTTTGTGTGGTGACACTGCGGGCATGTGGAAGCTCAGAGGACACAGACTCCCTGCGTGACCTGTGCAGGCTGCATGCACCAGCCTGAAAACTGCTGACCCATCTCTGCTTTCCCAGGAGCAAGCACAATTTTATGTGATCTATTAAAAGTCAAATAATCATCAGTCTTCTGCTATTTTTTAACCTGCCAGGCTCTACATAACCTTTATTTCTTGTTTTGATCATAATTTGAGAGTCTTTTCAGTGCTTGTGACACAGCGTCCAGATCACCACCCTTTCCAAGACTGTTCTGACAGGCCACAATCCAGCTTCATGCAGTCAAACTCAACACAACAAGACACTCAAAACCCCTGATGACTACAGAGGGAGTGCTGGACTGAATAAACTGGAGCCATCCAGTGTTCCGCTTATGCTTAACATTGCTAAGATGATGCTACCTCTTGATTAGTATATTACTGAAAGGAACCGTACTTTGTTTTTCATATTGGAGCACCCTGAAAACTCCTGGTACTTTGCTTGGATTTGCCAAGTGTAAAAAGAGAGAACATGCTGTTCTAAAATACACTGGTAAGACATCTGGATCAGGAGGTCCAGGGGCCACATAATTACTGAAAGGGAGACATTATTCCATGTTGTACTCACTTGTACTCACTTCATTACATGCCTGTCCTGCTCTTAAGCTCTTCCTGATCCTGCTGTCAAGCACTTTAGATCCTACAGTAGAAAAATGTAATGAAGGAACACTGTTATAATTTATAAGCACATATTGCACAGCAATAGCAGCCAAGGTGTTGCTCAGTGTAATTCCTTAACTAAAGGAATGGCTTAACAGACCATTGCAGTGTTACAGATAAAGCAACAGCAGCTCTCCTGTCATGAACCTTAATTTTACATGATTTATAACTGGGCTGCAAAGGTATTATTGATTTAAATCCACCAATGCAAAGTCTCAGCATGGAAACTTCATCAGACATCTGAGGAATATGGCAAGATAGCCATAACAAGCTCTGTTAGGTTAAACTGGACATTTAAAATGAGGATTCAGCCATCCTTTCAGTTCTGTTTCTGACACCAGGTTTATTCTGTTTCAAAAGAAAAACCTTTTTTCTAGGAAAGCCTACTTCCTTCTCCTGCCTTAACGTGTTAAACCGTGCTTAAGAGCCCTGTGCAAGAACGGCAGTTTTGGTCTCAAAGCTTCTGCAGGTAGGCAGAGCTCATCTCTATGTGCTCCAGGCAGCTCGCTACCCCAGTGCCCAGAGGTGTCCTGCACAGGCTGTGATGTGCACACCCATCTGCCCGACAACAGTCTCCTAATCCTTAGCTTTTGTAGCCTGAAGTCACTCCTAAGAGAAGTATTTGATCCGCTGAAGCAAGCGAATAAGAGAAGGATAATCTTAGGGGATGCACCACTGCTTCCTGACTCACTGCCCCGAGCCTATGGCGCTGCTTTGGTATGAGCCAAGGCACGGCGCTTCCCTGGACCCCCTGACCAGTGATGCTCCTGGCCATCAATCCAAATACTGCTGCTTCAAAGAAACCTGCTTGTCTCTGAGCACACGTCCACTTAGAGTGAAACTCTGCGCTACCGCCTGCTGTTTTGTGATCGCCAGAGACAGGCTTGTAAACTGTGTGGGTAATAGCAGTGGAGTCTTTCGGCAACAAGCAGGAAGATTCTGAACTCCCTGACTTCACATGGGTAAATGAACGTGTGTAAAAGGCATTCAGCACTGTCATTGCAAAGGGTTTTAAAACAATTAAAACGAAGAAGCATCAAGACACAGGAATTCCCATTATACTGTAGGAAACAATGAGGATTTTTATTATTTTTATTTTAAAGGAAAAGAGGTATGCTTTAAAAATCTGTCAAGCTATTCATGCTTATTCTCCAGAAATACTCAGAAGAGTTCCCAGTATTTAACTCCTGGAACCCAACCACCTCAGAAGGGCTGGCCCTGTGCTCCCAGCTGTTAAGTTTGCACAGCTTACCTTGTTGCAGGGCACTGCAAACATGCACCGTGCAATACCTGTTTGGGAAGGGTACCATTTGCTTGCCAGGCAGACTAGTAAAATGATGGATTCATAGAACTATGTCTTTCATCTAAAGAGGTTAAGTGACCAGTTCCAACTATGCCTGTTTCTCAGGCAATACCAGTTTTAAGAGCTCATTTTTAAAGCCAGACAACTCTATTTTGTGCATTTATCTATTTATTTATGCATTTCCAAAGATCACCACAATATTTACTCTGTTATTAAACTCCATGTGTCAGGCACTAATGGCCTGTAATTATCTTTGAAACTGGATTTGATGTTGCGAAGTTACATAGTGTAGACAAGTGTCTTAATGATGAATGTCAGTGTCAGGGCTGCTGTTAGGGTTTCATCATGAAAAACACTGTTCTGCTTCTGCAATTTACTCAGAAAACACACCTGCCATGCAGAGCATATGAAAACAGATCAACAAGAAGCCTTGCTTAAAAACTAAAACCGAATCTCAAACACCCTAAACCTGTATGTCAATCAATTTCAGAATAGCATAGAAAAGAAAACCTACAGTTACCACTGCTCATAGCCAGCAGCTCATACTCAACTGCACAGACTAACGTAATACTACTTTTCTTATTCAACGGAATAGTTCACAACATAATTCCACAAAATTAGCATAAAATCAGATGTCTGTGAGCAGTATTTCCTTTGTTCCCCCTCGAGTTTGGCCAAACCAGCGTGTTCTGTGTCATTCTTTTTGTGAACAAATGGCTGAGAGCTATCCCTGCCAATTCCCCATTATGTCCCTTTGCCCTCACTCATTCTGTCTTCATAGAGAACAGAAACCCCCCAGCAGCAGGAACACACTGCCATTAATTCAGTTACCCAGGGAATTTCACACCTTTGCCAGGCCCTTTACGGTTCTCATTTTAGTGCAACCTAATCTCAAATGGATGCAGAAAGCTGTGAAGAAGGGCAGCTCAAGCTGAAGGCAGCAATTAAATGATAATTAGGGCTTTACTTCATCTTGTGATTGATAGAGGCTTACAGGGCCCAAACTGCATCTTGTCATCTACTAATAGGCTAGGCAAGATACTCCACTAGAGTCTGAAGGATTTTGTCTTATCTCAAGAGAGATAATCTACTCAACAAGTAATCTCCTGCCTCTGGTAAAGTGCCACTGTATATTTACCAGGCCAGTATTCTTCACGGTTCAGCTCTAAACAAGCCTTAGGACTTCCTTAGGAGCAAGAAAGCTGGGGCTTTTCTTCCCCACATTCAGGCGTTTGCGTGTCTCCCAGCTCAACTGGGAAATGGGAGCTGGTCGCTCCACCTCCCCTCCAGCCCAGACACTTGCAAGAGCCACTGCCGTGGAATCTCAGCAATGGAAAGCTTTCAAACTGGTTTTAATCTTCACTATTCCTGAGAAAGTGAACTGCATCGCAAAGATCAGCCCCAGCTCCAAGCCAAACACAAGCTGGGCAGTTGGGAAGCAGGAGCCAAAGCACATGATCTGGGGCACCTGAAGTTCCTGTGCCTCTACGCTTGTGTACTCATCTGTGTCATTTGGGCCACAGCAGACCCAATTACTTATTATAAACAATTCAGTTTATCTTTATCAGAATCATTATCTAAATTGGCTACATGACACATACTGTTTTCCTAACTGCACTCCTGGGAAAATCTGCTATAAAATCTGTGATTTTGTACTTTGTAATTATCCCTCTATGGGCTATAAAACATTACACTTGTGTTTAAAATAGGTATAAGCTAGCATTTTCCACTGCTCAAAATGGAACATTCATTCTACCTCAGAAAATAAAATGCAGCAACATATTTGGTGCAAGCAACACGCACAGAGTTTCTGCAGCAGCCATGTTGAGGCTGCTGATCTGATTCCAAAGGCACAGGAGTTTCTCGTGATGCACTCCATTTTTATTATAGAGTTTCGATCTACTGCTTGATGTTTCTTTTTCTTTGAGCAAGGTAAAGATGACCTAAGTTAGTGTCAAGTGAAACATGGCCTTAGCTGGCATTTTAGACTGGAAATGATGAGGTGTCAACAATAACAGCTAACAGGATCGTACTCCCAGTGTCATTAATTTTTCTCTTTTCAGTATCCTCCACATTTCCTGCTGTAAAAACGCTGGCCAATTCTTCCCTGTTGCTGACTTTTGTTTTCCTTACTGTTTTGAGAAATTCCTCCTTCCTCAGGATTTAGAAATCCATTTCACACAGTGCCAAGCCAGCAGCTCTCCCCATGATTAAAACAAAACACTTTAGTTCTAAAGAGCAAAGACCTAACCTCCCATCTCGCACAACATGAGGTGTCCCCAGCCTCCCTTTTTAGCTGATTCTGCTTGCTTGAGGTACTTTCAGAAGTTCAGTAACTAGCAGTGGAGGGGTCATGTTTGCCCTCAAGTTGCTGCTTTTCATGCTTGACATGTTTTTCTACTGTCCGGTCCCTTAGCTGCAGCAGGGTCATGAGGATGGAGAAAAGGGTGGGGGTTACAGAAAGGGTATTGTATTACACAAACCCCAAAAGGTTTCGGTTACAGAATGTATATTGTCCATGCCTATTGGGCTTGTGGAGAAGTATCAAGTTCACCACATTCTCATTTGAGGACTTTGATCCTTTCAGTTAAAAAGAAGCTGCTTAGAATTACTCTGCAGAGCAAAGAAATGAATCAGTTGTACTCACTCACCCAGCACTGAGGAATGCCAATATTTCTGTTAGCCAGCCCAATCCTAGGGAGATTTACCCAGCTGCAGAGAGGCTGGAAGGGGCTTAAGTCTATCAACACAACCACAGGCTCCCTCCTCCTTTCAGAAAGGCCCAAGCACCTTTTATGTTGCCTGACTTTCAATGATGTGGAGCCTCTTTACACTTCTAGAGAAGTGTGTGTAGTGTCACACTGGGTTTGAGTATTTTCATGTTCCTTTCAAACTGGAGTATTTTTATGCTCCTTCTATAGCCAAAGCAGCAATGTGAGCTACAGCCATGCATCGTACCTCCTCTCCTCTTTCTCTAGGTTATCCATGATCTACCAGGTATTCCTGCTTAGGTAGTTTATCAGATAAAAATACACATGGTTAATGTGATAGTGCAGTCAGCTCCCAATCCAAAGGACACTGACTTTGCCAACCCAACATAAACCTACGTCACCTACCACAAAATGTATTTCTGCTTCAGCTACAGGTTCTTCTCTTACTGCTGTAGCTCAGGTGACTCCCTTAGCACCAACTAAATGGCCAAATAACACCCGCATGGAGAACATGCTGATGACCTGCTCTCAGCCCCCATGCATTCCTCCTTCAGTAGGAGCAGGCAAGGGGAACAAAAGCTACACCAAAGATCCCTCAGTCCTCTGGCTTCCCCCGACCAGGACACTAGACTGAGCTTTGCTGGAGAGCTGCAATCCCCAATGTGATGCTTTGTTGAGTGATTGGAAGAGGAAAAAAGCACATAACAACAGGGAGCAGCAGCAGCAGACACCCAAGCAGCTCCTCTGATCTGCAACTGTTCTGTGGGAAGCAATGCGCTTGTGAATGGGGTCAAAAGGGACCCTGAAAGGCATAATGAAGCGTTAGCTGATTTTTCAAGGGGCTCTGTTTTGTTGCGTTAGCAATTTTCTACAGCATTAAGCAGTTTCATGGTACATTGTACTGTGTTGCCTGAAATGGCACACAGACTATTTTCAGCCCAGAAGCTGGAGGATATGGGACTTGAA